ATATCCAATTTCTGACAATAGATCCTCCTAAATGTAACACACTGCACATTTAAATAAATAAACTTCAAACGTCAAACCCAAATAGTGAACACAAGAAATTTGTGTAAAACGAGTGAAATGGATGAATTTTAAGCAAATTATTTCCTGTTTAGGGAACTTTTTATACAATTCTCTGTCTGTATTATGAATATACAGTTTTTAGTGATCATACAGACATAATAGTCTTATTTTTTGACAACTTCAGGGCTTGATCATTGTTCTATACTATTAGATTATACACTAATGCAAAGACCAATTTCACTCAATTCATCACCACAGATAATAGATAAAAACCCTACTTTAGTGAAATTACATGTGTTATATCAGCAAAATATACTGAAATGTCAATGAGAAAATTAATAAGTAATAATAGGAATATTATATAATAGGAATATTATTACTCATGCATAAAAATTTAGTACTCAGAGAGGCATTTTAATGTTGTATGCAAGTATGTAATGTGTTTCATAAAGCAGTGCTTTTTGCCTAATCTTTAGGGTATGTCTTGTAGAGCCTTTTGTCAAAATATAACTTTAAGACCTTTATTATGTTAGTTGATATTGTGCTTACATGGTACATCCATAACCAAATGTGTATTAAATCAATGTAATGAGCATACAGCCCTGAGGGGCTCCAGCATTGAGCACTAGAGTAGAGGTGTGACCACTATTCCAAACTGTCTGGGGTCTGTTTGTGAGTAAGTCCAAAAGCCAGATGCAGAGAGCAACCAATCAGTTTCATGGAGGAGATTTTGTTAAATGAGCTGAAATCAATATATCAAATCAAGGTGTGTGAAGTATGAGTGGATGGCAGTGGAAGTGGCATCCTCCTTATCAGGCATATAGTCACTCTCAGCAGGATTTCTCTCTCATCCGCTCTTTGTTGAGGAGATAAAAGCTCATCTGGTAGCATGGCCTCACACATGATGGGGGTGCTCCTGCTTGTGTAGCCTCTGATGATTTGAATCATTTGAGGCCTTTCTCCGGTCTCTGCTGGTTTCTCCTTGATACCAGCTTTCAGTCAGAAGCAGGGAAATATGGTCTGATAGACCAAAATGGGGACAGGGGAAGGCAGAAATATTTGTGTAGACGTCCAGATTGTTTGTTCCCCTGGTGGGGATGTGGACGTGCTGGTGGAACTGAGGTAAAACAGTTCTCAGGTGTTTTTGATTAAAATCACCATCTGGTTGTTTTGTCATGTGACTACTGATGACCTCATATATAAAATATTGAAAATAATTTACAATTAGACTCAGTATTTCTAAAATCCTGTGGACAACGCGGCATCTGACAATCCCAAATTAGTGGTGAAATTAGTACATAATAATTTGTTCTCTCTTTCTTCTCTTTGTTCTTCAAGGAGCTCTTCCGGTTTGGCATAACCTCGCCAACTATCAACAAGACACTTCAGGAAATGGCAAACAAGGTATGGCATGAATTAATTTCTCAGCATTACACTTTGAAATTATCACTTTGTTGAACTTTAATGTCCAGCGAGCAGTGGTGGAAGCAGTAGCACTGCATTCAAAACCTTACTTGTCAGTATTTTACTATTATATATAATGTTTTTGGATTAACATATTACTGTTTCATTAATTAGTATGTTGCATTTTACTGATTTACTGACATTTAAGGTTGAATTAATTTTCTCCTTTATATAATTTTTTTAGCTTTGTGACAATGCATTACCCCACCACCAAGGGGGTTATTTGTTTATTTAGTTTAATTAGTGGGAGAATTCTCTCAATGTCCATAAAGGAACACCTTAAACCATTTAGTTTATCACAAAATGATCAAAATCAGATACATGATTTTCTCTTAATGTGGTTGGTATGGTATGGTATGAAAAAATCTTAAGAGTAAAAAATAAAATATTTCCCTTTAAAATGTAGTATAAAGTTACATTAAATACTAGTACAAGTACAAGCACCTTGAATTTGTACTTTTTGGTATTTTTTAGCATCCTTTGTGAAAGAAACTGTTGCTGCTAAGACTCAAAACGAGAACCCTCCATGTCAGATTGTTCCTGTCACTGACGATCCTTTGACGGGAATCGACGCCACTCCTCCACCTCTAATCCCGGTCAATAAACCAGGACAGGACGCACCTCGGACAAATCCTCCTCTTGCACCTACTGTCAGTAACCCAGGGCGGGGTACATATCAGCAACCCCCTCCTCTTCCACCTAATGTATTCTACTAACCTATCGTGCCTTATTATGTTCTCCCACCTAATCCAGTCAGTGGGGGGGTTATGTGTACAGACAAGGTGCTGATAGTGCCAGGTTTACACAGGGAGGGGGTTGGCTTCCTCCACACTCCCCTTTTGGTGCATCTGGCTTCCTCCCAGCTCCTCAGTGGTTCTTGGATCTTCAGAGACAAACACCTCCCAGTGAGAAATCCAGCAGGAAATCAAAGAGCTCCCCTCCTGGCTCAAAGGTCTTATCATACATCAAGTGAAATGTCATCTGAAGAGGATAGTGACGGTGACTGAAGAGATACTGGAGGGGATCATGAGACTGATTCAGTCTTTTGAACATGTAAGGGTAACACTTATAAATGAATAACTGTACTAAGAAACACACAAATGCATGCAACTCTAAATTTTTAAGTCTTGTGGGGAGTTTTCTTATAAACAAAGTTTCTGTTCTACATGTGTTGCTCACCAAAACCCTTTGTATCAACATACTGAATCTATTTCCTTCCTCAAACATTTGTAAAAGCTGATTTTCATGTTTTCTGCATCGTCATTGCCTTTGTTGGCACATTAGTGTTCCTTGACATGTTACTACCAACTGTAGATCAGTGGAACAATGTGCTAGTTACTGTGCTGTAAGAATATACTCCAGCTATTTAGTATTCCATTACACAAGACAGTATTGAGAAAGAAGGGTCAAAACTAATACAGCAGAACTTTTAGTCCTTGATATTTCATGGTATGTACTGGCTCCTACACTTTCTGATAGACAAAACCATCTCGTACCCTCTTGTTAACACAGACATACTTTAAACAGCATACCCCGTTAGTAATTGGTTTTGTTCAAATGTGTAGACCTTTGACAAAGCTTTTGCATTGCCACAGAAGACTTAATACCAGAGTGCAAAATAAGTTTTTTTTTTTGTCCACTGGTCAAATGGCTAATAAATGGGCAAATTATACCAGCCACTCAATAGATTGCTAATGTTTTTCTGCATGGTGAGAGAAGTAAATCTATTAGACACTTGCATATTTTATCAGTATTTGTCATTGTGCATGGGCATTTTAATAACCGTTTTCACAGTAGTGAAAGTAGGACAAACTGTGACAAGTAAACTCAATGTTTAAATCTGTGGGTTTAGTGGCATAGCAGTGTAGTTGCCGATTATAGCCTCCTTACCTCAATTCTTCCGTTCCAAGCGTGAAGGGGAAACTACAATGGCCACAAAACTTGTGAAAAATGCTAAATGTCCTATATAAAGGCAGTGTCTAGTTTGTCTGTTCTGGGCTACAACAAATGTTTTTCACCTGATATTAGACATAACTGACAACTTGTTACACTCCAGAGAATCAGTTGACTCAGTGAAGTGGTCGGATTTAAAGGTCTTCTGAACAGAGGAAAAAAAAAAAAAATCCTCTTTGAGATTAAAGACAAATAATGATCCTTTAAGTTTTCTCTGCTTGCCACTCAACCTTCATTTAATAAGTTAAATCTGCACCACAGCAGGGAATATCTCCTTTACTACAAAACCCACGTGCATGGGACAATTCTGCTTTCTGTTCTCGGTTTTGGCTACCCTATCAACGTGCAACATCTCATTATTCACATCACCTTTTACGGAGAAACCTGCAAACATGACAAAAGGTATGAGTGGTGCTGATATCAGTAGTTTATTGTATGTTAAGTCCAACACATTCAAAATAGAAAGGAAAAAAAAAAAAAATATTCTCCACCTGCAACACTTTTGTACTAGCAACAAGTAAAGGGTAAACACAGTAAAAAAATTAAGATGGCAGCCAACTGTTTACCACACCTGCTAAAGCCAAGAAGGTACTTCTATTCCCATTCAAAAAGGATTGGAATGATTCACAATGAGGATCCACTCTACTGCATTTTCAACCACAGGAAAATAAAATGACAGGGTTTTTTTCTCTTTTTCTTACAAGGATCCTTTAAAGTTTGGAAAAGGGTGGGTCATTGAAAACCTCAGTGAAAAAGAACTATCCAACCCTAAATTTATATGCTCCAACATTTTACCACCACTACAAATGTAAAAGCACAGATTGGTCTGAAAGCATGATGGCTCTTCTTCACCACTCTCTTCATTGACCGTTGCTGTAAAAAGTATAATTGCAGTCAAGTGCCCATGTTAAGCAATTACCTGACAAATAAACACGTGGGGTAGAGGCACCCATAAGGGCTGTCTGTTAAAAACACTCAAAGACCAAAAAAGCTGTAATTTCTTTTTTTTCCTGTAATATTCGGTCAAAGACTGATGGTAACAAATTAAGAGTCTCTCTATTGAAAACTATTCTCACATCTGAAAATATTTCATCTCAACCACAAGGAGAGTAGTCGAGCATCACTGTGGAAAACTACATAAAATATGCCATGTCTGTACATCAATTTTTGTTTTAACTGCAACAGAGCGAATACTATTTCATGCCGATAACAAGATGAGCACTAATATTTGCCTTTTTTCATCGCAAGATGAGAAATTTGGAGAGAGGCTGTGTTCAAACTGACAGATTGTCCCAGAAACGTTGGGAATAGTGCAATACCACCAGACAAGGAAGACCTCATTAGTATATTTGTCCAGAAAAATGCTACATCGATTTCACTTCCCATTTCAGTGCAAGATAACAAAAATAAAAAATAAAAATAAAAAAGATAACATCTCATGTTTGTCATGTTTTCCTTTCCAGCTGAAACCAAAAAAGGTCTTCCCTCCCTACCGAGTGGTAAAAAGAAAAAACGACGAGGACAAGGAGGAGACGACTAGTATGGCATTCAGATTCGACTCGCTTCGAATGGAAAAATAAATGGATAAAATAAGCACAATGAATAATCAGCATATGAAAATACAAATGCATAAAACAGCTAGAAAAAGTGAGCACAATTATTTGCTAGTCTGTGGGCTGGAACTATGGCCAGCCCACCCACACAGATCATTACAAAATTGTTGCTGAGAAAAGAACAGTCTGACAACTTTTGAGTCCAGGGATTAACCTGAGTGCTGCCGTGAGTCGCAAAAAACTAAGGTCAGACTGAAAGTAAGAATCAACAGTATCTGAATCACATTGAGACTCTTTCCAAACTGCAAACCTTTGTTCACTGAAATCATGGTTGTGTAGAGCTTTGACATGTTAACCAAGGACCAAGCATTGCACTGTCACCATCTTTAATGTACCTTTTTTTCTTTATGGGAGTAGTTCTTCAGATGCACGTCTTAACCATTTAACATCAAACTGAACTTGAGGCACCTATTGTCTCTACAAAACCCAGATCAGACACAATACAAAACAAATGTACAAAACTCACAACAGATCATCTTAGGTAGTAAAACAGTATGGAAAAATGAAATATGCACCTGAAAAACTTAAATCTTGTGAATACTGCAATTTTTTTTTTGTATCTGCTCCCAGTGGACAATAGTTCAAAATCAGCAGCTCCGCATTAGGAGGCAGCAAGCCCCGAACCGCTTTACGCTTTAGTAAGACTGGAAAAGGTGAAATAGAAGGCACCATCATGCTCTTATCAAGTCGAGAGAGAAATGAAAAATATACACAGAAAACAAAACATACAGTAAACTATGATTTTTGCTGTACATTTATTCTGTTACTCCGCACTTAAGACAGGAAGGGAGGGAAGAGGGAGGGAAGAGGGAGGGAGGTGTCGTCCATCCCAGTTTTCGCGGTCTAGCTGGCAGGGAAAAACATGAAGAAAAAACAAATTGGGATCAAAAGAAAAACAGAGCGAGCAGCCATCGTTACCACCACTCTTCTATTGTTCAACTTTGTTTCTTGTTTATCCTTTGTACCCCCACTCATTTGGTGAAAGTCCAGGATTTGAGCTTTTTTTATTTTTTATATTTGATTTATAAATGAGGAAAAATATAATGTAGATTTGCTTGTCATCTTGTCCATCCAGCAGTAATTGAAGCGTAGTTTTGGGTCAAAAGTGTGAAAAGTACATTGGTCACAGCAGACAGGCTGTAAGCGAGGCCTGCCCCGGTAAGTCGTATCGCTTTGAGACAAAACAGGTCTCTCCAGCTGCGTTCCGAGCATGGATGTCAATGTAATACGACAAAAGTACCCATTAGTGCATATTGATGAGTGCATTATGCAATTTTGAAGCAGTGGTCTCTCAAAAGGAAAAAAGTAAAAGGCAAGCTTTTCCCCTGGAACTGCACAAATTTTGCATCTCACTCTTTTCCAACAGTAACGGGCAGAAAACTACCATATAAAATGTGCAATAGAGGGATTTCGTGAAGCAGCGCCCCAGTTAAGTCAAGGCATATAATCTCTTTTCCAAATGATGGGCTGTATTGTCGTAGTTAAAAGTCTTATCAGTCCCTCCTAATGTGGCAGATTACTCCTGGTTGGTTTGCCTTTTTCCACGAATTTACAAATTAAAGTTTGTGAATTCTTGAGATACCCGAAAAGGATGCTCAGCTCACAACTAATAAGCGAAATTTTTTGTTTGCTTATTTTGTTTTGTCTATTTCACAAACAAATGGTTGACAGGCTGTGTCACATTCCAAAGCAAAGAGGGAACAAAAAAATAAAAAAATAAAACAAAAAACAAATATATACGTTTATACATGAAGATTTCTTTTCGTTAACGAGAACGGTTGAAGATGAAGAACACGGTACTACTTCCACACTGCAGGTGGTGCTCTTCTCAGCGGCGCTGGGTTGTGAAGCGACCCTCTCCTTGGCCGCCAGAGCCTCGTCCGGAGCCCATGCCAGGTTTGGGGGCCATGCCGCCTCGAGGTGGTGGTCCCCTCCCGTCACGTTCACGCATCATTCCGCTTCCCACGATGCCTCGCGAACCTCCGGGGCCCCGGTCGTTGCGCCTCATATCCCGACGCTCGTCTCCTCCACCACGGGTCTCGCGTTCACGCACCGCCCTCGTCTTCTTCTCCTCCACATTCAGACGCACCTCGCCTCGAAACATGATGGGCTGCAGAGAGAAAAGCAAGGTCAATACAGGAGACACCAAGACTGAATATTTATTACTATTTCACAACCCACATCATTCGCTGGTTTGCCCTATGTAAGCACGGCTCTGTGTCACTTTGGTCTGACCCGATGAGATCCGTGTCCCTGCCAGAGAAACTATTTAATCTCTGAGGCTGTGTGCCGCTCATTCATTTGAAACAGGCCGGTCCGGCATCAGTATGGTGCCAACGCTGCATTGTCGAAAACGTTCAACCTGGCTGAACTTTTGCTGCAACACTACTTAATACGTCATAATAAGTGCCACACTGGTCAATCAAATACATGCACACACACATTCCTGGTGGATTACTTCAGCAGAACATTTATTTATAAAAAGAATTATAAACTGTCTCTACTGTGTCTGACCAATTGTAGAAATGTGTATCACCAAACCACCACCAAAAGAATGAAAGTGGGTAATGAAATGTCAATACATGCCCCTTCTACCTTGGCCCCCAGGATTCTTTGCACAGGATCAGAGTCGTCAAAGACCACAAATCCAAAGTTGGGCAGCTTCCCACCAACGCCCTTCGTGTTAATCCGCAGCTCCACAACATTTCCATATGCTGCAAGAAAAATGGAGGGTTTCATTTAATCAGTATTTATTTTTTCACCCTTTGGATGCAAAGTGCTACTTTTTGAGGAAACCTACTCATGAAGAACTCTTTAAGCTCGCTCTCATCAATGTCATGTGGGAGGTTGCCAACAAAAAGTTGGTGGCTGTCTGGGTACCGGACAATCCGCCTGCTGTCCATGTCACCAGATTCAGCATCTCCCCTGCCACCTGCAGGTCAGAACAGACAGAAAAAAAAAAAACACATCAGCTCACATGAATCATCTGTATAAAAACCCAAGAGAGTTCAAATCCTGGCATCAAGAAAGTGAGTAATAATATTCCCCATCAGTAATCAAAGAATAGTAGTGAAACAGGTTCATTTAGATGTGATATCATGTTTACCTTTGTTAACAAAACTCAAGTGTGGTTTTCCCGTTTGTGACTCCGAAGATGCAACACCATCTAACAGTGACAGAGACATGCAGGGCAAGAATAAGCCAAATGATTTTTTTTTTGTTTTTAAAGAAGAAAAAAAAAAAGCACTAAACCCTTAACTGGGGATTTAAATGTTTTTATTACCAGGTCTGGGACCCCGCGGAGTGAAGGATGGTCTGTCACGTGTGCGCTGGTCTCTGGGCCGAAGAGGTGCTGTCTGTGTCTCCGGCTTGGCTTCAACTCTGGGCTGTGTGGGGGAGAGGTGCCACAAAAAATAAAAAATAAAAAATTAACCCACACGTTTTTCATAATTGCTTTCACATGGTGCTCCAGAGATCAGTTTGTGTCATTATGTAACTTAAGGAACAAAGTACATGAGTTCTTGTGAAAGTAACACCACAATGCTTTGTTAGAGTCAGTTCTGAGAAAGGCGCTCCTCACACAAACGTCAATATCTACTGCTGCTGTTAACCACCATCTTCATTGCAAAGTGTGTTTGAAATAAACATTGTGGTTGACTGCTATATAGTGAGCCATTTCTAATGCGCTGACAGTTGTAATGTACATTTCATGTCCAGTGGTAGTTGGTTACCTGTGAGCTTGGAGCTTTAACAACATGGGGTGAGATTCCAGAGGTGGTGACTGTGCCAGTAGGAGGCAGGTTTTTACTGGTCACAGAGGCCCACGAGGAAGTCTGTTAGGGATGCAGTAATACACTTTGAACCACTCAACACCGTACTATGATATCCAACTGAAATCTCTGTTGTGCTACTGGACTGCATCAAAAACTTACTTTGAACTTGAAAATCTCTATCTTTTGACCTTATTGTTAAATACTGAATAAAAGTAAACTTCTGCAGGAACAAATCTTTGTCAACAGTTATTATAGTTTCATATTTTTTATTAGTTTTTAAAAACTTGTTTTCAGTTTAGTTTCTGTTAGTTTTCAGAGTTAGTTTACTTGTTTTAGTTTAGTTTTTACTGTTAAATTGTTAAGTTTTCATTAGTTTCACTTTTGTTTTTATTATATGGGGGGATTTGTCAGGGTCAAGACAATAAACATTTGCAGCAATGTCTCCTGATGCTTGTGTTGACAGGTTTGAGCAAACTGACATTTAAAGACATTTTTAAAGACATTTCCTGTATATTTTATTATAGCTTGTTTCTCTTTAAGTGTAGTTTTTATTTTCTATTTCTATTTACAAAAGTGTTTTTGTCACACCTAGTTTTAGTTTTTAATATCAGTTACACTCTCTCACACACACACACACACACACACACACAGGACATCATGCGTACCTTGGGAGGCTCCTGGGTGTTGGGTGGGGACTCCACAGGGACCGGTGAAGGCGCTTTTTCCTCCATCTCTTCCAGAACCTTCTCGTCTGCTTCAGGCTTTATCTCCTCTGCTTTGGGCTCTGGCTCAGGCTCTGGCTCAGGCTCTGGAGCTGGCTCCTCCATGGGCTCCTCCACTCCATTACTACAGAGCACAAATCAGCATATTGTCACTTCCACAATAGTTTAAAATGCTAAAATGCTTCATACAAGATATTTTTTTCCTAAAAAAGGGAGGGGAAACAAGCTAATATATATACATATATATGTTATGATGAAGTTTAGCATACGTGACAGGATGAGGTTCGTAATAGGTGGTGCTGTTGGGGCTTTCTTGAAGAGGCTCAGGGGACGCCTGCCTCTCCTCGGGCTCCTCTTCAACTTCCTCCTCTGATTCTAAGTGAGAGTGAGAGAGAGAGAGAGAGAAAATTTAAAAAAACAAACTTATATTTGCATTAGCACCCTCAGACTTGATCATGAAAACATAGTTACTAAAAACTAAAAAACCCAACAACAACCAACTACTAAAAAACAAGGTCTGTATAGGATATTTGTGACCATCTTACCCTCATCAAGCTCAGCTTCAGAGTCTCCAAAAACCTCATCCTCGTAACGGAAGATGTCATTGTGGACGTAGAACTTGTTTGCCACTGAACCCTGAGGAAATTTGTCACGCAAGGAGAAAATAAAAATAGTGTCCATTTTTTAAAAAGCCAACCAGCAGATAAACGTCCAAAAGTTCTATTTACAGTTATTAATTGTGCCATAGAGCTCAAGAAATAATTACTTGTTACTGATGTTGTCACTCAAACTCTACCTTTCAGTGCTATTAACAGGAATACTCACCTCAGGAGCAAGCACAAAAGTCTGCATGAATTTCCTCATGGGTTGACCATTGTTGGACAGTTCTCCGAGGACTTGCACCACCACTCCATCACTCAGTGTGGCATGGGCATCCACATGCCTGATCTTTGTGTGGCATTCACTAAACTGCAGGGACATAACCTTCTTGTGGATTTCCTAACAGATGCAGGGAGAAGGGGATAAAGAAACCACATAAATGAAGAGAAAAGGAGGGGACAAATTGGTTCTCTGGTATTTTGCATTTAATGGATTAGTAATAGGCCGATTAATTGGGCCAATTATTTGGCATTTTGAGATAATCAGCAACGGCATACACACACTTTGAACATTATTTAGACAAATACTCACAAACTCACTACAGGGACATTGTATATTTAAAGTAAAAAAGTTTTAAAAAGGGAGACGATCAAACAATTTAAATATTAACTACAAAATATGTACATATACGCTACAAAAACACCCCAATTCAGAGATGCACAGAGAAAGAGTGATATGACCAATAGTGCCTCATACGCCACAACTGACTGAGCAGAGCACAAGAGGAGAGGGAGAGACTCAGGCACTGTTGCAGTAAGAGCTGTGTACTGCAATTACTCTGGGAACAAATTACAATATAATATACTGGAATATACTTCTTTTTTTGTCACTAGTTTTTTCTAAAAAAATAATGTTGCTTAGGAGGGTAAAAAAATAAAGCCACCAAGTTGGCAGCGCTGGCTCTCTGATTGATTGTGTTTTGGTCCAAAATCTTCCATAGGCGTTTTAATTGGGTGGGGATCTGGTGACTGCTAAGGACATAGCATACGAGTCACATATTTTTCAGTGACTTTCAAATAATTTCATTTCACACAGCATAACAGAGTCACTGGATGCCCACTCTGTAGGGCTCAATCATTCAGGCCTGTACCATTCTCATGGTGTACACCTCACCCACTTGTCACAAATATGGCACATGACTCATCTGACCATGTTACTTTTTTCCTCATATCTGTAGATTTTTGCACCACTGAACTGTCAAATGTGCCTTCATGTTTAGAATTAGGGGTTTATGCACTAGGGGTGTCACGATTCTCCAAATCCTCGATTCGATTTAATTTTCGATTTTAAAGTCGCGATTCGATTTTCGATCTTTTTTTTAATATTAACTATATCCCATTCTTATACTTGTCAGCCGGTTATAATTTCTATTGCTTTTGGTCCTAATTCTGTCTTCGGAGGGTACTTTTATTGAAACCGTTCCAACCGCGAGGCTTGTAACTGAAACTTAACAGATCGTAACCCCGGTAGTGAATGAAAACAACACAGAATGACGATTTGATTGTTTCAGCACGAAGAGACCAAGGTGAGTGTCAGTGAATAATGTTCCTATCAATGTGCACTTTTAAAAGCCTGAAGACATTTGGGACTGTAATAATCAACTTCTTCACTTGCTCATTGAGAAGGTAAGTTCGTGTTACACATGCACATCAAACACACACACACATACTTCCCACTGGTTGAATCTCAGAGTACAAGAGGGCTTCATCTTCGTCGGCTTGATGCTGTATTTTTTAAACTGAGCTGCAAGCCTAAAATTAGAGGAGTTGACGCCGCAGTTCAAGCATTTGTGTGTTTTTGCGCTCTTGGCGTACGTTTGGATGGTGGACATCTGGGGTCGTGGCTGCATCGTCGATTCTACCTTTGAGTTCGAAGTTCGAGATGTAATTTCGATCGATTTCGATTTGACACCCCTATTATGCACTGCAACCCTACTCCAATAACCCTCTCCCTCCCTTGCCAATGGACTGCTCCTGCTGACACAGTCTGATCCAGTTCTGCAGTGACATTCTCAGTTACCTAAGAAGGAGTTGCTCTTGTTTTTCCTTAGATATCGCATTAATGCATGAGCGTCAGGCATCAAATGTGTGCCGTCGACCACGCCTGACCCTGTTTACGTTCGTCTTTCCCATGGATCTAAATGCAGATGTCACTTAAGTTGCTGTTCCAGCCACATTGAGCAGTTTTTGTATCACAACAATAAACCCTATTTCAAAGTCCCTTAGAACTTGTCCTTTTGCCATCTTGATACAAAATCAGAATCAACTGGGCCTGCTCAGCATTTTGTACACCACAGAGCATGAATGGATGTTAGTTGCTTAAATCGTCATTTGGCCACTGGCTGTCGCGCTCTCTGAATATCACATCAGCCATTGAAAAACCCACATACACTAATGTGGATTATGACCATAACGATTCAGGCTACTATTGACTGGGTCATTAAAGTCCCAGCAGTAAACAGCTAATATCACTGAAAAGCACACCTGTTGTTGCTGTGTTACAAAACTATGTTATAAAATCTGATTCCCATTTACTTTAGGGTTTGCTGCCATTTAAGGTTAAGGTTTTTACTAACATTTAAGATTTGTTTCCAGTGAGATATTTTTGAGTGTATATAGTGACTTTGCCGTTTTAAACTTTACGGTTGCTGCTCAAGAAATAACTATCTAATCCTGTTCTGGATTGACCGCCTATTACTTACGTCCATGCAATTTACAATTATTGGCAAATAATGAACATTTCTGTCCCGAAAACAGTTCTTGTTAAGGTCTGGATTTCCAATGTCCTGTGTGCAACATTATTTGTCCTTGTCCAGTCACATACCTGTTTAAGTGATGAACTGCACTACTTGTGGTACTTTTCAATGCTGTAACAGACCTTTTATACTCATGATACAAAAACCTCAAACCTGCAGAAAAAGTTCATGTACAGCCCTAATTAAAGGATTACTTGTGCCCAATGTGAATAGTATTGTATGGTATGAGACACCTACTACACAGTACTTTCAATGTGAATCTTCTTTATTGGTCCATAGCACCTACCGCTTGCCCATACACCGCTTCTGCCAGCTTCCCACTTGGGTCAAGTCCGCCATGAACGTAGGAAGAATTCCTCCCATAAAACCTAATGGCACAACAACATGACAGTTAGTTAAACAGAGTATTACCAACACCAACAAAATTAACGTTACCACATGAAATTTAAATGATTACCTGTGCAGGAAATCCGGTGCCTTGTTTAAGAGTGTGTAATACTGCCTCACAAACTCCCGCCCTACAAGCAGGGGACTTGGCTTCTCCATCACCATTTCTTTGGTAAACAATATTAAGTGCTGAAACAGAAAATAAACAAAGGTTTAATTGTAATAATGCCACCTACAAGTAGGGGTTAACACACACTCAGTTTGCAGTTTATAAGGTACAAAAACAGTCCAGTCTAATACTGTAGCCCTGCAATAAATCTTGCCTTAATAAAGATTATTCAGGTTTTATTTTAGTCAGTGATGATGAAACGTTGTGGTTCATTTTGGAGGCTCTAGTTTAGTGAATTATACTGCATTATATTAAAAAGAATACAGTTCAATCATACCAAAAAAAAACCTGCTATAGCCTCAAAAATGACTTAAAGCTTAACATTTTAACTTTCAGAAAGGTTGGCTTCATTGCAGAGCTTTCTGTATTTGGCTGCAGTAGTTTACGATGGGGTACCTAATGAATTGGCAACAGACTGTAGAAAACAATGACTTGGGGAAAAAAAAAAGAAGCTTCAGTTGAACTGTTACATGAATTGTTTAAAGTCTGGCAATTTTAAGGACGCCCATTTTTAATACACATTAACGTTAACTGCGCCTCAGGTAAACAACATAGGTGTGTTTGAGCAGCCAGTACAGGAAGTACAATGAGTGATTTCAGACGGGTTCCTTATAAGAGAACAACGTTTCACTCTTCATTAGGCCAATGTTTCATCTATCCTACGGTAGGAGCCCGACAGCTGACTGTTTAGCTGGCTGGCTAACACACTAGCTAAGATTCAACTGCGCCATCACGTTCATCCAATGAGACAAAGAGGGAAACCGACTGTACAGATATTTAAAAAAAAAAAAAAAAAAAAAAAAAAAAAAGGAGACAGATGCGGGCGTTCAAGTTGAGCAGCGGAGAAAAACGGACTTTACTAACAATTAAAACCTTCCTCTAAACACGACACATCACATACAGGTGTTATAAACATCTGTGCATCCCTTTGTAGACAAGTGGCCTACTGTACGAGTGCGGCCTTTTCGTGTCCGTGCTAACAACTAACCATTTCTCACAGTTGTCGCATGTTGATTAGCCACATAACGTGACAGATCCCTCAACTAGCATCACATGTGCTCACTGTGGAAACACCAGGAGCGCTTTACGTCTGTACTGTCGGCTAGGTCAACGTTATCCGGACTGTAAAAAACAACCGTAGAGGTATTAATTATAAAGATGTTCGGCCTCTTCGCTGTCAAAACAGAAAAAGAGCAACGCCGAGAAGCGACGCTGCTAGTTAGCCAGCTAACGTTAGCTCCAGCTAACTTGTGGCGTCGTCGTTTTTTTTTTTTTTTTCTCTCCTTTCCTCTCTTTCTCCTCACTTTTCACAATGTGCGAAGAGGATCACGTTTGCTGAGACACATCGCGGTTTCGGTCCACGCAGAAAAACAGACAACTGTCAAGATGTTAGTTTCCTGGTTGCGTTAAGTCTCACGCAAACGAGCCCGCACTTTGACTGCAAGCGAGCGGGGAAACGCAACAAACCCGACGGGACGTGCAGCCCGGCGATAGCCATCGTCGTGCACCGATAAACTACATCAAACGTGTGTGGAAATTAACATCTACTCATCTATAACCGATTGTATCGCTTTACTCCAACTTTAAAATGAATTAACCCCCAAACTCAACACAGCCTGTCGAGCTTTTATCAATGAGTTCAGTGCTACGCTAGCTCAAAGAAAACAAAGGAAGACAGATTTGACTAATTTACTCGGTACGCATTATTTTTAAACCAGTGAGGTAAAATGGGGTATTTGTGCAGTAGCGACGCACCTACTTGACAACTTTTGAGTCATTACAGTCTCAGTACCGAGTAGTCGTGGCTTTCACTAGACAATGCAGCTAACGTTAGCTGGTCCGGTTAGCACGTCAGCCGTCTCATATATTAGCTGACTTAGCTTGGAGGATGGCTAACTTACCTTATGAACGACCTATCTATGTAGACAGAATTATTTGTAATAAATAGCTACGAGTAACTGACTTGTAAACTGTTCTGAAATACGGAGTATCCCAGGTGTATGTTTTAATATTTTCCCCCACGCTCCACTAACTAACAACTTATGATCTCTGCTGTACCAGAGATTGAAGATTTAAAGTGATAGCTTCTATTTATTGTTTTACCCCTGCAATCTGGGGCAGGGAACCCCCATCACTAAGATTCAACCAATGGACTGTTTACACTAGGCAACATGAATTATGACGCAGAGCAAATAACCACGCCCCTCAACTTTCTACTAGCTGTGCCAAAAAACCTTCTTGCTTATTAATAATCACTCAGGTTGCCTTGCGGATCACTTCTTGTCATTGTTATGTGACTTTTAGCAACTCCCTTATCCATTAATGCTAAAAAACAAAACAAAAAATACGTCATTTTACCTTTACCTACCTAAAGAAATGTAACCCTGGTGATGTCATTAGGGTTATCTTAGTCTGCATTGCAAACTCAAGGTGTGCAAAATTACGAGGCAGGTGGATCTTATGATACATGCAATTGACTTGCATCATGAAAATGTTTCATGTGAGTCTTTCTTTTTTGTCTTTAAAGAAAATTAATCTTGGTCAGGCAGTGGTTTTTGTATTAGAAAAGTAACTCTTTGTTTTAAGAAAATATATCTGAGCTAACTATTTGTCCTTATTAAAGCATATTACAGCTGATTTTGAGCTAGATTTAACCAGTAACAAGTTACAACAATGGTTTGCGTAATATCCCAGCAGAAGAACAAGATTATTTTTCTTATTTTTAAGAGACAGACCACTTGCACAACTTCTCACAAATTCAGGTCAATAAAGTGACTAAAATACTTATTTTAAGAAAGTCTATCTTAAATAACTGAGTTTTTGTCACTTGCAATAAGCACAACTTGCTTACATTTTTGCCATTTTTTGTACTTTTAAGGCCCCAGGCAAACTGTCATGTGTAAAGAAGCTAAATCGCCCTATATTAGATTACTTCAGAAAATTAAACCAAGGAGGAATATGGCTCTTCGTTATCAAAGTGTCCCTCCAAACAAGACAATTTGACCCATATATGGAAACTGATTTTAAGTCTTAAAGCTGCAATAAATGATAATAAATAATCATAATTTTACCCCCAAAACAAATCTTACAGTTAGCACAATGATTAGGAAAATGTCTGCAGTATAACAATGACACTGTGAAACTTCACTCACTCCCAGGAGGCCACAGTGAGGGTCAGCTATTGTACAAAGACTGCTTCCCGTTGCATTGTTTCATATGCACTAAATGTTGTGTCAAATGAGAACTGTGCTTTGATACAAATTTACATAAATTCAACAATGGGGATGCATTCCTGATAGGCATGACACTGGTGTAGGTCCAGCTTTAACAAGTGTGATAGGTCCAGCTTTAACAAGTGTGGGTATTGTGCGCCACCAAGTGGTCAAACAAGCTTTGTGTCTTATAAATGTATACACCATCATTTTGATAACATAAAATGCAGGATTTTTGCATTATTAATATATAAATTCCCAAATATGAAAACCTAAACATATCCATTAACTGACATAAACACATGTCAGTTAATGGATTTTGTAGCTCTGATGAAAATCAAGATTCAAATATGGGGAAAAAAACAAATGATCGTGATATAACTGACAACTGACATTTTGATGAAATGAGTGTAGAGTTTATAGAAATTTTTTCCTTATTTGGTTGTAGCTAGTATAGGTGAGGCTGATTTCTATGTATTATATGTTGTATTCATAATTTGGCTCCGCAAAGCTAGTAAGTAAGCTGTTAAAATAAATATTGTGTAATGAAAAGTACAATACCAGTATTTGCCTCCAATGTGTAATGGAGTAAAAGTATAAAGTAACATAAAATGGAAATATTACATTCAATAATTAATACTAAATTAAATACTACAATATTTACAAGCAACTTAATTATTAGTTGTATTAGTTGTGGTTAATGGCATTGCATTTTAACAGTCCGATAAATGAGGTGGTAAATGCACTTCATCATTTTTCGAGCTTTGATGCTTTATTCAGATAGAAAACTCTCAACAGTATACAGACTGTACCTTTTAACATTGTTGTTTGGTTGATGTAATTAAAACACTGGACACATAATACCAAGGTAACCCCATTTGTGGTTTTGTCCTCAAATGGCTTTTACACAGTTTTTCTAACAGAGTTTAAATGTGTAAAACTAAACCGCCTTTAATACAATGGAATACAATGGAATAAACTTTGTTGAAATTTGTCTTGGGTACAGTGCAACAATCTGTTGCTTCACAAATACAAACATACATCAGAAAACCACCACAAAAACAACATGAAACACCCTAAAAGACACATTGACTATACTTTTAACGCTGACATTACGGCAAAGAGACTAAGAAACTATAAGAATTAAAGTGCTAAGTGCTAAGGTGCTGGTCTATTTATTGCACATTGCCCCATTGCAATGCTAAGATTTAGTATTAGAGGTCAGCAGCTTGATAGAGGCTGGGATGAGCAATATATTGAGGTTACAGTTACAGGCCTACAGGTCCAAATGAAAATGACAGGCCTCTTGACGATGAGCCTTGTTGTCATAGCAACCGCTCACCCAAACACAGAGAGATTATGTAACGTTAACCCTAATGTATATATTTATCTGAATACTGTATAAAACATTTAAAACAAATGGTTTATTGGTCGTATTAAATGACTCAAATAACTATTTAAAAAAAAAAAAAAAGCTTTCAAAGAAAATGAATCACTTTGGGTAATTCTGATCTTTCAACTAACGTTAAAATAATCCCAAACCAGTCCAATCTTTACAAACTGAAAACTGAAAATTAAAGACGACATTTAATAACAAGTTGTGTCTCCAATGAATATTTCAGCAAAGAGACAAATGGTTTTTTTTTCCATCCTTTACTGCGACGCCATGACTTCTAGTGTAATCTGAGTCCCGAACAAATGAGAATCAGAGGGTTTTTTTGGGGGAACAGTTGAAGAACAAGATGGCTGTCCTGGGGCAAGAAAAGTATCTCTCTTGTTTCACATAAACACGGCATTTTCTCTATGCGGTCGTCAGTTTCTTGAAAATAGCTAGATAGGTAACAACTTTAAACACTTTAAAGGCATCGCTTTATAACGACGGACATTGTTTTTGAGACGGGAACTGAAGAAGGAATCGCTTGAGGTTTTTTTTCTCAAGGAAAAGTTTTCATAACGGTTTGGTGAGAGTGGAAACTACTAACGCTGTCTACGAGGAGCAGGATAACGTTATTAAAAAACTTTTACACACCCTGTAACGTTTCATGTAACTTATATAGTTCATTTAGTTAATTATTTAGTAACTTTCCCAAACTGTCCGCGGTGGCTTTTTAAAGGGCGTTTTAACACTTGAGCTAGAAATGCTTCAACCGTTATAAACGTTTATCAGTTGATGTTTTTGTTGCGTTTCTAAATAAAGTTTAACTTTATTTTTATTTTTTTCCCCAAATGCCCCGCACCAGATGAAAAACACACCTAAAGCTAACTAATTTAACTTAACTAACTGGACCATGAGTTCATCCCGAGTCCGCCCGCAGCAGCTACCGCAGAGCCAGGCTGGCAGGTTGCCGCACAGGCTGGACTCAAACGAAGGGATAGAGATGGAGAACATCCAGCATCAAGACCTGGGTCTCGGAGGGGTAATAGGCACCCCGTCCCCTCCGTCGAGACAAGCGTGGAGTCGGGACAACCCGGGGTTTGAGCCTGAGGATGAGATTATGGAAGCCGACTGGCCTCCAGCGAGTCCCGGGAGGAGGTCGGTGTCCACGGCCTCCAGCAGCAGCTGCAGCAGCGGCCTGGGCAGCTACACCGGCGGGGGCAGCAGCACCCACATCCCCCGGGGAGGACTGTACCCGACCCCGACCGTGGATGCCCAGCAGCAGGACAGACATCAGCACCGCAGCTGTATGAAGCAGATACTGCAAAAGATCAGAAGTTAGTCACTCTGTTTGTTATTCAATAAAAAGCTGGGTACGTCTTATTCTTATTTTGTATTTCTGTTAGCTGCATCTTCTTCTATTAGGTTTTTATTTAATGTGTATGTTGTGTCGTGTCTGGAGACCCAGTGTGAGATCAATAAAGCCTAACTACCTATCTTATCTTATCTTAAACTTGTCAGCATACTGAACTATATCATTTGATAGTTCATTATTTCTCTGTGACAGCAGGATAATGTATTAAAAATGATAGGGTTTATAGCTGTAGAGTTTATCAAACATACCAAAGTTAACAGTGAGCCATCAATTTAGATTAAATTGTATTTGGTTAGGGCCTAATTGTTCTATATTGTAACCCATAAAAACAATTATGTAATCAAATGACATCAAACCAAATGGAGAACTTACATGTAACAAAGCCATTAACTGGACCACAATACAATCATAGTAAAACAAATTCTTGTAATATAAGATAAAAATAAAAAAATAAAGCGACATCCTAAATGACATCAAGAGAAAACAAACAGAATAAGCTCCCCGATTAAAATATCTCATTAACTGATAAAACACTGTTTTAAGGTGGACAAAATATATCAAATGGGGTTATATTTGTGTAGCCAATGCACCTGCTCTTTCCAGCTCCATAGCTGAGACTAAAGCAGGACACACTGTAAGTTTGACTGCAGTATTTATGTAATCACGTCTCTCTATATGCTTCACATGTTGATGTCCTCTTGAATCACTGTTTATCTTTGCAGTCCTGTGGGGCACAGAGCTGATGGAGGACAGCGACAGCAGTCGAGAAAGGTACCTCAGGAACGTACTGAGGGAGATGCTCACGTATATCGCATTCCTCATCACTGTTTGTATCTGTAAGTAAACACCCCTGTAAACAATCCTGCAAAATGACATTTAACACATATTTATGCACTAGGTTGAACCCTCAATCACTCATCTGTAACAACTAGATGGTGAGACATAAACTGAACAGCAGTCAGGTTTCTGTCGAGGCATTTTTCATCTAAACTGATGTTAATGTTGATTTTGACTCAGTTGAACTACCTGCACATCATGTAAGTAACCAACATAGGGGAAAAGTGCTAGCAGAGCCCCATTATGTGCTACAAAGCCCTGTTATTGCATAACCCAT